TATTTTATTACACATGTAATGGAGTCTTTGTTTTAGGCCAAACGTGAAATCAATAGTTTAGCTTGTATGCATACCAAAATATTTTCATGTTTATGTTAGATTGTTTGTTTGTGAATTTTCGTATAAAGCTACAGAAAGGGATATCTGCAAATAGCCATTTCTCTAGTTTTGAGATGATAGATTAGAGAACTAGTTACCCCAGGGATAGCGCGACAAGCCGCTAGAGGGCGCCACACGCGTATCGACCTCAGACAATGAGGAGAGAAGGGGTAGATATGATGATGATGTCACCAGAGACAATGATATCATAGTTCCACGAAGTAGAAACAGAGGGCGTGTTGTTAGGCCGCCATGATAGGTGAACATGACGTCATAGTTCCACAAAGTGGAACCACAATCATGATGAGATCACCATACATGTCTCAACATGTAATAAATGACTAGATTGAATTATGTTGTACAGTCGGTTTATGTATAAAACACCTCACTAATTCATTTGTTCTATATTTAATAATACTTTTTTACATTTCCTGACCTTTTACATGCAAATCACTTATCGTCATGAAAAGGATGCTTATTTAACATGCAAACTTACGAACATCTTACTGTTTCACTAGTTTATCTTTAACAATATAATTATGTTCTTGAAAAAATATTGTTTCTTATGATAAAGGACAAGAAAATACACAACCGAATTTCATTTAACATACTGATTAAAGTTTTAAATTCTGTATGTAAGCATACCGTTTACAATTGTTGTCCTGAAAATGATGCAAAAACTCTTATTTGAACGAAACAACTATTATAACATACATATTATCCATTATTTAAATGAGGCAGTTATTATAATGAATAATTTATTTTATGTGCTGTTTCGTCCTGAAAAGAACGATTATTTAATGCTCTTTATAATTCAATATAATGTTTCATTATAAGTATATATACACATACACACACATAGACACATATATTAGGTCGTCAAGAAATTAATGTCGCTTTTTTTAAATGAAAAACCAAAACAACTTATATATTAAAACAAAACATTTAAAAAATCAAATATTCTCCATTCTTATCGATGATGGTTTTCCATCTTACAATCAGGTTGTTAATGCCCTGATTAAGGAAATCACTTGGCTTTGAAACATAAAAGATGTCGATGTCCTCTTTAACACCTTTCACATTTGTATATGTTTTCCCATTAAGATGGTGTTGCAGCAAATGAAAAAGCTGGTAATCATATGGTGTCATATCTAGAGATTATGGTAAGTGGGAGAGAACTTCCCAACCCAAATCCATAATCACGTCAAACGTGCCACATGTGAACGTGCATTGTCGCGGAGAAGAACCCATTTCCGATTGACTAGTGAAGAGTGTTTCTGATGAAGGGCTTGATTTGAACGTACCAGTTGCTGACTATAGATCTCTGCATTGACAGTTCGCTGTCCCACCAAATGCAAAGCATCACTTTCTACGGATGGAGTCCAGGTTTTGGGGTTGGAAGTGGTTTTTGTCTAGGACTGAGCCATTGGTTGATATTCGCATAGAGAATCTATTTTTCATCACCGGTGACAATTCTGTCCAAAAATGGTTCACGCGCATTACATGCCAGAAGAGATGAAGCAACATTCACACGTTGGAAACTATGATCATTGGAGAGTTCGTGAGGCACCCAAACACCTTCTTTATGGGCCATTTCACGAATGTGTTGTTTTGGGTTAGACTCAACAAGCGTTTTCAGAGCATCAGTATCAATTCCAACACGTCGGCCCCTGCAATCACAGTTTTTAAGGCAAAAGCCACCTGAACGAAATTTGCTGAACCATCGTTGACACTTATGAACGTT